AATACTTTGCAAAAAAGTCGAGCTTGACAATTTTCGTTCCTACCTTCGGTGGCTTGACAGGGGAGTTCTCGTTGTATTCCTCAGCCTGCTTTCGACGTCGCCGGAATTCTTCAATCTTCTTTCGTGTTTCATTGCTGAGGTGACCGAACTCCATGAAGACGTCCGTCTCATCGGCCAAATCCTAAAGCATAAGGTATTGCTCAGAGTTGATGACTGAGGCGATAAGGCAATCAGGTGAGAAGAAAATGATATCGATCGGATGAATAGGCAAGTAGATGATTAGACAGGTACCCGACAGGAGGCCCGTCGCGCGGCGAGAAGGCAGAGACGCAGACGGGTCAGTTGACGAGTCGCAGCGCGTACTGTAGCGATTTAGCGCCAAGTCAAAGAACGTGTATAGTGCGTCCCACATCATATAATACGCGCTACGACTCATCGTAGCGCGGATTGCCGCCTCTGCCTTCTCGCCGCGAGAGGGCCTTTTGTCGGGTACCCCGATTATACGATCGCGTGAAATACCCAGAGGGCGGAGTTAAATAAACCGATACGTATGCTTTCTTACTACCCTAGTGATTAGTTCTCCTAATTGCCAGTTCGCCATCGTCTAATTGTCTATTCGCCTACTCCCTTAATTCATCAACTAACCACTCACTTGCTTATACTAACTTGAAGTTTGACTCAGAACCCACTACTGAAACGTTTGCCTGATTTTAGCAGACCTTTGCCTGTGTTTACCAGACCCCTTTGCCCCAGCAACAGTCCAAATCGTTAATTATTAATTATGAATTGAATGAAACTATTTCGTCGGAGCAATCGATCCTTTCATAATCTCAACGGCACAAACCTGAACGATCATTGTCTCCGCTCTTTCCGTCAGTGGGGTGTGGTCGGTTATCTGCAAAGCATTTATTCACCGAGCTGCTTCATTCATTGATTCGACAATGTATGAAAAGCACCTGGTTCTCTGGCAATTCCTGAATAACAGGCATATTCTCCTCGAGATTCAACCACCAGTGGCTGGCGATGTCGAAAATGTCAGCACGGCGTTCCGGATTCACTCGCAGCATATTGCGAATCAGCATCGACGCTGCTGAAACAGAGTGTGACGATTTCACAGAATGAAGTTAAGACTTGGCATACACTGTTTTTCTCAGGTCATTAAGAGCATCATGGGAAGAATTTGGCACTATTTACCCTTTACTGCCCCACTCCTCGAGAACTGAGCCGGGATTTTTATCGAAATTTGTCCATGACTGTGGATTTGGCTAGAAACTTGCCTTCAGGGGTAATTCGACCCACACGAATATCACATTCGTTCACCGCTAGAACTGGCTGCTCGCGCCAGAAGCGCCGGCGCCAAAAGGCGCCAGAACATCTCGGATCCCAAATTCGCTGGAAAGTTGTCCTCAGAGGTATTTTGACCCGTAGAACATGAATATCACATTAGTTCGTTGCGAGTGAGCCTGTAGCCTGCGCTACGGGCGCCCGCGCAAAACTGTTGTGATAGCGCCGGCGCCTAGCACTGTCGCGCTAACCTGAAGTGAGATTCGCGTTCTAACGTCAGCAATACCCACAGGAAACATATTTCCAGTCAAATCCTTAATCATGGACGAATTTCGATCGAAATCCGGCTTAGTTCTTGGGGAGTGGGGCACTAAAGGGTAATAGTGCCGACAATTTTTTTCTGATCCATTCCGGCCAAAGTTTAGTAAGGTCGCCATTTATAAGGTCCATGCCTCACGGCTGAAGAGTATGCGTCCCTCAAATGATCATACTGATAAAGGGGGACTGTAATTATCAGCCGCCTGGTCAGGTTCAAGTTAGGTTTTCTGAGTAACCCATTAGTTCTCAATTATTGGTCCCCTACCATAGATGCAAAGATACAACACTCTCAAAACTCGACGAATTCGGATTTAAAAACGGCTTCGGAACGATCCATCAATGCCATACTCTAACTAGCCGAGAGATTTGGAGCAGGGTCAAGCGTCCATCGAGGGCTGCTCGACAGTGGGATGGTGACTTGCATGACCAGGAGGACTTCCACTGCGAAGAGCCAGGGTTCAAAGTTGAATGCGTGTTGAGTTAGGACTTCCTATCGCGTCGATCCCGAACAACCCTCCCACGTACGTAATATTCAGAAAAGGAAAAGAAATCCTCTCCATTTTGATCCTGATATATACTTTTCAAAAAGCAGGTAGGGCGTTATTGTGCTCTTTGCCAATGTGTAACAAATATTGGCCAACAGCGCTGTTATAATTTTTGGCCCTATTTTTCAAAGACTAAGGTTTTTAAGTCGCATTGCTCAGAGTTTACAAACTTTAGTTACGAAGCTAAGGGCTAACTTGATGGTGTATCCGGCTCGTAGTAGGCACCGCGCTTGATTTGTCGAACCATTCGATTGAAATCACGTCCATCAAATGGCATGGAACCGTAGACGAGGGTGTAGAGAAGAATACCCAGCGACCAACAATCGACCTTAAATAATGTAGTGACCGAAAAATTGACATATATTGGAGCTAGAACTTACCTCAGGGCCTTTATAAGGGGTGCCATTGATGATCTCTGGAGAGGCGTAGAGTGGACTGCCGCAAAAAGTGGTAAGAAGGGACTGAAATGTATTACGTCAAAAGGAGATTCGAAGATGAAAACGTGAGCCAATTAGGCAGCTGTGGAAGTTATCACGGTGGGGAAACATTGCGGTGTGCTCAAGGAAAGGAGAGAGGAAAACTGAGTATGAGCTACACATATCCAGGCCTCAGTATTGCTTAAAGGAATCCTTCGCGGAAAATTCTTGCATTCTTTCTCAACATGAATGTGTCAGTTGTGATCACTGGAAACAGCACACAAAGTTTCACGCATGAAGATTCGGTTTCCGAAGAGAAACAAACT